CCCCGGGGAGTTGCTCCTGGGTGCAGCTCCGGGCCCGCGCTGTGGGAGCCCGCCTCGCCGCCCGTCCGCACCCCGCAGCCGCGGCGCCGCCTGTGGGTGGCGACCCGCCGCCGGTCCCCGCCTCCCTGAGCTCTGGGCCGACCTTCCGCCCCCGAAGTTCTTTCGGGAACCTGGCGTCGATGTGCCTCTGTGGGCACTTCGCGTTTATCTGCCCCGCAGGTCACGAAGTTAAAAAGAACATTTAAAAAGAATTTTTCTGGTAATGATCGCAACCCCCATCATGTCACATTAGGTGATTTCAAAGCCCCTGATTGAGAGAAGGTCTCTTGGTAAATTGGCCCCACTGCCGCCTTCACAGCCTCACCCGGGTCATGTTTCAGGCGGAGCTTAAAGCCCCGTCTCAGTTCTTGGGTGTCGTGTGTCAGGTCTCTGCATATAGACCTTGACCTCTTGCTCTCACAGCTTTTGCGCTTGCTGGAGTGCATCGTGTTAGAAGAAGGCGAACTACACGGTCTCCCCTGGGTTTAATTTTTCTCTCCTTCTCTTCCCCTGTAGAAGGCATCAGAGCAAATTGGCATTACCGTCTCGCTGCCCTTTTGTGTTTTTGTTCATATGCTTGTGTGCCTCCCATACGGCTCAGATTCGGACAACTTTGGACTCCTTTCAAGCTTTTGAAATTTGTAAGCCCACCAAAGCGTTACAAGTGTGTTTACATAACATTGGCTCGTGAGGGTTTGCTGTGCAGCGAGCACTGTTGTAAGCTCTTTACATATATTAAGTCATTTACTCACAGCTTCGTGTCTCCAGTGGTAGAGTGGTTTAAGCACTGAGCTGCTAACCCCAAGGTTGGCAGTTCAAGCTCACCTGCTGGGCTAAGGGAAAAAAGATGAGTGTGTCTACTCCTGTTAAGATTTCCAGCCTCGAAGGGAGAACCTATCACAATGGTGTAAGATATGACAATAATAATAATTTATAATTTATCAAGGGGTCAAGAGGGAGGGGAGGGAAAAAAAGAGCTGATAGCAAGGGCTCAATAGAAAGTAAATGTCTAGAAAAGAATGATGGCAACATAGCTACAAATATGCTTGGTACAATTGATGTATGATTTGTTATAAGAATTGTAAGAGCACCCAATAAAATGATCTTTTAATTAAAAAAAAAGATTTCCAGCTTCTGAAACCTACAGGGGCAAGTTCTTAATCTGTCTTGTAGTAGGGTCATTATGAGTTGAAATTCACTCGGTGGCATAGTGAGTTTTGATCTGTTGAGTAACCACACGGCTGGCAGTTCAAACCCACTAACAACCTTACAGGAGAAAAATGAGGCTCTGCTCCAGTGAAGGATTACAGCCTCGGAAACCCTACAGTGGAAGGGGCCTTGGTGAGGCAGTGGATTAAGTGCTTAGATTCCTGACTGCAAACTCAGTTATTCAGAACAACTGGCCACTTGGGGACAAAGAGAGGCTGGCTGCTCCTGTCAAGATTTACAGTCTTGGAAGCCCTATGGAGCAGTTTACCCTTTCTATCAGGTCTCAATGTGTCAGAATCCACTGGGCACCAGTGGATCTGGCTGTGGGTCATTTGGATCCTCCAAGGCAGGCCCACAGTGGTGAAGTTCAGCTGCTAACCAACAAGTCGGTGGTTCGAACCCACCCAAAAGCTCCAGCAGAGAGACACTATCTCCTGTTGTTAGGTCAGCCTGGGAAACCAAGTGGGCACTTCAACGGAATTAACTAGCCAGCACATAATCGCATCAGAAGAAAGAAGAAGCTGTCTGCTTCCTGGAGATTTACAGCCTCGGAAACCCACTGCAGTAGCCCTGTAGCCTCCCTGTGAGTCAGAATCAACTTTTATGTGATTCTGAGCCTCCCTGCTATCGAGTCATTGTCGACTCACAGCTACTATGGGACAAGGTAGAACTGCCCCTGTGGGTTTCTGAGACTAACTCTTGATGGGAATACAAAGTCTCGTCTTTCTCCCTTGGAGCAGCTGGTGGTTTTGAACTGCTGATGTTGAGGTTAGCAACCTAATGCATAACCACTACATCACCAGGGCTCCTTAGCTCTTGAGAAGTGAACCCAGAATTCAAACCTAGACTCTACCCTATGATCAGGAAAGACAGGGACTTTCCTCTAAGATAGGATTGTGGAATTTCCGTGTTTATTTCAAGAGGCACTTATTCTGAGAATATCTTTTCTGAGCAAAGCCCTATGGAAGGAAGCCCATGTTGTTTTCGTCTGTCATCAAGTGTCAGATGACCCATTCTGAACTTGAACTCTTTTTTTTTTTCTCAAAGAAATTAGTTTTATTTGAAAGACTATTTTCTCACACACACATCTTCTAAGGATTATACAATAACCATTGCTCCAATACCAAAATTTCTGACAGCAAATTATATAGTTGCTCTAGTTAATAAATAAGGTTTGTCCATCACTGATTAAAGGCATAGTTGAACCTCAATAAGTTTAACACACACACACACATCACACTTTAAGTTGGTAAACTTTAGCAGCTATAGATGTATTTCAAATACAGCATGTTATATAGGAGTAAATACGTTTTTCATCTTTAACAAAAGCTTAATTTTCAGGGTTTCAAAATTCCATTCTTCAAAAAAAAAAGAGATCAAGTAAGGAATTTCTTCTTTTTTTTTAACATTTTATTAGGGGCTCATACAACTGTTATCCCAATCCATACACACATCAATTGTGTAAAGCGCATTTGTACATCATTTCTCAAAACATTTTCTCTCCATTTAAACCCCCGGCATTAGGTCCTCATTTTTCCCCTCCCTCCCCGCTCCCCCCTCCCGCATGAGCCCTTGATAGTTTATAAATGGGTATTTTTCTTCTTTTAAAAAAAATCATTTTATTAGGTGCTCATCCGACTCTTATCACAATCCATACACACATCAATTGTGTAAAGCACATTTGTACATTCATTGCCCTCGTCATTCTCAAAACATTTGCTCTCCACTTAAGCCCTGAGCCTCAGGTCCTCATTTTTTCCCCCGAACTTTAACTCTTTCTGGAAGAAAATTCTTTCTGGTAGATGTTAACTAGCATCCCTAATGTTTGACGCTCATTTATTTATTTAATGGCTTTATTGACATAGAATTCACATGTCACATAGTTCAATTGTTTAGACATATTGAAAAGAGTTGTGCAGCCCAAAATACATTTGCAGGATCTACACAGGGAATAAACCTCAAGTGATTTCCCTCTCACCATAAATGAGGGATGGGAATAAGCTGTTTATCAGACAGAGTATTGGAAAAATGACTATAGTGGATTGAAATGATAAATCTGACTTGAACAGTTAGAACCTTGTCATTTCATCTCCTTTTTGATATAATTTGTGATTGATCTGGTTTTTAATATGTTCTGTAGTTTTTTTTTCATTCTGGGGTTTGTCTCTGTTGTATTTTGTCATTGTTGATGCCCTTCTTGACCCTCGGTCATGTATCCTATGTTTTCAGTATGTGAAACCCAGGCTAGGTGAATCGATAGAGCCAATAGCTAGAATAAGGGTTCCTGGGGGGATGGTGGAGAAAGTGGGGAGGGTCGGGGGTGGGGTGGGGTGGGGCGCTGATATCAAGGAGTTTAAGAAGAAAGAAAATGTTTTGAAATTAATTGTGATAGCCAGTGTACAACGCTGCTTGATATACTTGAACTGCGGAATGGTATGAGGTCTAGATTAGCTCCTAATAAAATGGTTTTTGCCGGTGGGGGGCGGGGAGCGTTGTTCAGTCATCACTACAATCCATTTTAGAGCATTTTCTTTTTCCTCGTACTCATTGTTGTTAGCTCCCCACCCCCCACCGCTCCGCACCTCCCCTACCATAACCCCAAGAAACTGTGATTCCAGTTACTCTCTGACTGTAACGATTTGACTTTTCTGATAAGCACGACTAGTGTAGCTACTTCAGGGGCTTGAGAGAGGAGTCTGGAACATAAGTATTTGTCACCCAGTCGATTCCAACTCATGGCGATCCCTGTCTGTCAAAGTAGAGCCCTGCCTCTTGGGGCTTTCTAAAACAGATTGCTAAAACTTTCTTCCAAGGTGCTCCTGGCCATATTCAAACCACCAACCTTTGGGTTAGTAGCAGAGCACATAGCTGTTTGAGCCCCACCGGGACTCCATGCAGAAGATTGCCTTTGAGTATGCTCCAGCAGCGATTCCAATTCAGAATGACAGAAGAGCCCCACACGTGGGCTTTTCTTGGCCGTGGTCTTGATGGAAGCGGACCACCGGGCCTTTATCCCACAGAACTGTTGAATGGGTTCCAACTTCTTTTTTTCTTTTTAATTTCATGTAATTTCAACAGGCCACGAAAC